GGGGGGAAGAAAGCAACCGTGAGTACTCATCCAAAGTACTCGCAAGCAAGGAACTACACTACATATGCATGGGTATATGTGTAAGGAGGCCATATCAGTGGACTGAACTGCAGAATGCCAGAATAAGAGGGGGATAGCTAATCCTGTCAAAGACTACGCTTCTGGCAGCCTCCGTCTTGCAGCATGTAGGAGAGAGTAGATTGAAGTTCTCCAAGTAGCATCTCCAAGTAGCATCTCCAAGTAGCATCTCATAGCATAACCCTACCCGGCGATCCTCCTCTCGTCGCCCTGTGGAAAAGCGATCACCGGGTTGTCTGTGGAACTTGGAAGGGTGTGTTTTATTAAGTATCTGGTTCTAGTTGTCATAAGGTCAAGGTACAACTCCAAGTCGTCCTGTTACCGAAGATCACGGCTATTCGAATAGATTAACTTCCCTGCAGGGGTGCACCAACTTACCCAGCACGCTCGATCCCATTTGGCCGGACACACTTTCCTGGGTCATGCCCGGCCGCGGAAGATCAACACGTCGCAGCCCCACCTAGGCACAATAGAGAGGCCAGCACGCCGGTCTAAACCTAAGCGCGCAGGGGTCTGGGCCCATCGCCCTGAGCACACCTGCACGTTGCGTGGGCGGCCGAAAGCAGACCTAGCATAGTGGCGTTCCAGTCCAATTCGGCGCGCGCCGCTCCGTCGCTGACGTCTGAAGTGCTTCGGCTGATACCATGACGTCGGGATACCCATAACTACTCCCGCGTATATGGTTAGTGCGTATAAGCTCGTCGCCAACTCAGATCAAATACCAAGATCTCGTTAAGCGTGTTAAGTATCCGCGAACGCCGAACAGGGCCAGGCCCACCTCTCTCCTAGGTGGTCTCAACCTGCCCTGTCGCTCCGCCTCAAAGATCCACTCGCGGGTGCTCCACCAGCCGACCCGACTTTAGTCTCCACATGTATCATGTATAAAGTATAGTATATACCCGTGATCACCTCTCGAGTGATCGCGACCCGATAGTATAGCACAGCAGACGGACAAGAATGTAGGGCCACAGATGGAATACTAGCACCCTATACTAAGCATATAGGATTGCAGGTAAAGGTAACAACAGTGGTAATAAGGACAGGCTATGCATCAGGATAGGTATAACAGAAAGCAGTAACATGCCACACTACTCTAATGCAAGCAGTATAGAGAAGAGTAGGCGACATCTGGTGATCAAGGGGGGGGCTTGCCTGGTTGCTCTGGCAAAAGAGAGGGGTCGTCAACTCCGTAGTCGAACTGGGCAGCAGCAGCGTCGGTCTTGTAGTCTACAGGAGAGAAGAGGGGGGGAAGAAACAATGAATACCATGTAAACATATGCATATCGATGCATGACAAGACAAGTAACGATGCTAGGCGTGACCTAACGTGGTATGAGGTGATGCCGGTTAAGGGGGGAAACATCCGGGAAAATATCCCCGGTGTTTCATGTTTTCGGGCAGAGGAGCCGGAGGGGGAAAGTTGCGAGTTCGATAGGTTAGGGGTGTGTGGCGGATGAACGGACTGCGTATCCGGATTCGTCTTGTCGTTCTGAGTAACTTTCATGTTGAAAATATTTTAATCCGAGTTACGGATTAAAAGATATGATTTTCTAAAGATTTTATTAATTTCTAGAATTTAACTAATTATTTAATTTAACCCGAAAATGGAATTATGACATCAGCATTATGTCAGGGTGATGTCAGCAGTCAACTAGTCAGTTGACCTAGTCAAACTGACATGTGGGTCCCACTGTCATTGTCTGTTAACTAATTAACCATGTTAATTAGATTAATTAACAGATTAGTTAGGTTAGTTATTTAATTAGGTTTATTAAACATAATTAATTAAGTTAATTAATTCAATTATATTGTTATTATTATTAATATATTTTTTATCTCCTTTTTTTGACGTTTTGGGGTGGGCCCCAATTGTCATGGGGCCAGGGGAGCCTATGCGGGCGTGCGGTTACGGGCGCCGCCCGAACGAGCACTCGCCCGCAGGGCGGGACGAGGCCGCCGGGGCACCAACGGCGCGGCACGCCGGCGCGGCCAACCGGGGCCACGACGGGCGGAGGCGAGGGGTGGCGCCAATGCGGACAGTGGCGCGCGGGCGGCCGCGGTGGCGCGGCCGCGGGAGGAGGGCAGGGCGGAGACGAGGCGCACCGAGGCACGGGGCCAAGGGGCGCCGACCGGAGCAGAAGCGGGCGAC